GGAGAGAGAGAGAGAGAGAGAGAGAGAGAGAGAGAGAGAGAGAGAGAGAGAGCAATAATTCACTTTAAAAATATATATAACAAAATTAAAGAAAAATTTTATCCAACGTGAAATAATTTTAAAACAAATAATGAATAAATGTTATTAAAACACCGTTGCTCAATTTGAATAACTTATTCTTAACAACTGAAAAATCTAATATATTTAAATTCAGGCAATAGCTTTAAACAAATACTTTTTCAAACTAATTATTAATTTATTTTATAACATATCACAACATATATAGACAAAATATAAAACGTTTATTGATCAAAGAAGTGGTGTAGTGCCTAAAGCAACATAATCCAAAAGTGCCTTCACGGGTCCAAGTTCGAGTCCCACCAGTGTCAGTGAGAATTCTTAATTGTAATGTAACATTGGAAGAAAGTAATCGTTCCTAAGTATTACTCTTATACGAATTTTTAAAGAATTTAAAGAATCGTTCAAGAAAGAAGAATAAAGAAAAATTCTCTAAAATGAACAATTTTTTATTTAAATTTGATAAATAGTTACTTAATTTTAGTCATGCAATATTTAAAAATAATATATAAAATAATTAAATAAGTAAATATTTTTTACAATTCCTTTTATGTATATCTAATAAATCTAATAAATAATTCATTAGTTTTCAGCAAATAATATTTCATCCTGAATTATATTTCTTTTTAATTCAAATAAATACGCCATTGGTACCATTTTAGAAAATCACTTATTTAAAACAAATTATTTTTTTTTAAATTGCCTACATCATTTTATCAGAGAGAGATCTTTAGACAGTTTTATATTTTGATAATTTACGACCTTGAAAACCCTATATGAACAATTTATACTCAAATTAGACTAAATTTATTTTTTGCATCCGCCATTTTGCATTTTGCTATTTTGACTTCAGATTTGTAATCGGCAACCTCGAAAACACTAAATAAGCAATTTACATCAAAATTTGACTAAATTAATTTCTTGTGCTCGCTATATTGGGTCCGCCATTTTGAATGTTACTATTTTTACTTCACATTTGTAATCGGCGACTTCGAAAACCCTAAATAAGCAATTTATATTCAAATTAGATTAAATTTATTTTTTGCATCCGCCATATAGATCTGCCCTTTTAAATTTTTCTATTTTGACTTCAGATTTGTAATTAGCAATCTTGAAAACCCTTAGAATCGTCTCAATATAAAACACATCTCTTGTGAGAAAGCTGTGGCCACGAAAGGATTAACCTACGCTACTAGGCAACTAAATCTGGACAACTTATCAGAGTAAGTAAGTACGTTGCTGCATGTTCGTATTTTGGTTATTACAAAACAAAATATACGGTTAACAAGGCTGTAACAAACATTAATACATAGAACATGACTTCTGTCATGTTTATGCAGTCAGTCACCAGTTTTTTCCGTATATTTTAATTTTAATGAAAGACTGAGTTACAAATTTATCATACTTTCATTGTAAGGATATTTTCAGGATATTTTCAAAGAGCGAGTTCTGAATAAAAAGAAACGCTAATAGTGAACCGCATGTTGTGCACGCGTAAATAAAAAATGTCATGTGAAACTACCTACCTAGATAGAAAAATGTGTTTATTCTGAGCTCATGTTGTATATATATCTTCAAAATATGAGGATAAGATTACACACCGATGTGAGCTCATATGTAGCTCAGATATAGTTCATGTCATGATGTCACAAAAATACCTCATTTAATAATAATAATCAACATCACGTCAAGAACTTTCAACATAATTTGTATATCATTTGTGTGCATCTCGTACTCATGAAATCACATAATGATCTTTAAAAAAGTAACAAATTGAAGTCATAGTATTTAGTCACATTGTGATGAAACATGATTATCACGCATTTCTATCTGGATATGTTCATACTAATATTATGCGATGTGATTGCAGTTCTTTCTTTTTCTCCCTTCGGCTGGTAATGCATATAGATGACAGCGCGCACTGCCCGAGAAGGACACTTTGATAAAAATGCCTTCGCAGCCGATGCCTCACTCGGAATAGATTGTGAAATGCAAACTGGGCCGTAAAAGAATTCCGATCGTGCACCGCCGAATGCATCTACGTATCGACCGAATCGCTGCGGAGCTTCCGGAGTGGATTAGAACTGTCGGGTTGAAATCGAAACTGTCACTGCACACGTACCATACAAAGCTATCGATGCATTTTTATTCAAAATCGACGGTAATCCTGTAACGGTATGCATATTGATTATCGTTCCCGAATGAAATGGCTCACAAGCAGCGCGATCAATCTCACCTCCTATCGCGTAACCGAATCTGAAATCTATTGAAAAAATTGATATATCAATGACCTTTCGGACTCTCGTTCTTAATACCGTTAACGCGCTTGATCGAGAACAAGGGAATAAAAAAGTTTTTATAATTAAATGAAATTTAAGACTCTCAGAGCAGATTTTTCTCAATAACAGTTTAAACTTAGATTTAAGTTTGCTTTCTGTTCTCTGTTCAAACACATGAAACACTTGGTAGAATTTATAATCAAGATCAATTAAAGGGACTAGAACGGTTTCATTTTCTGAAAATTGAGTGAAATTCGAATGACGATTGTGAATAAACGAATAAACATACACAAGGTTTGTTGTTTTTTGTTTTTATACATATTTTTAGGAATACAATAAGCGGTGGAAGTTCAAAAAATATTAATAATTCAGTGAAATATTGTTAAATTAAAAAAACTTTTTTGCGGTTTTGCCACGAATCCGGGAAAACGAGTTGGAATTTTTTAATACGCCAAGGGTCATTTTGTAGATGAGATTTCCCTCTATAGATTGAACCAAAATGGAACTAAAAACCTAAAAAATTAAAGAAATAGCGGACAAAAAACAAAAAATGTCTAAAAATTCATCCAATATATAATACTAGAAATCGTCCAATGCATAATACTAGAAATCTATAATTTATTACACACAAAGATCTTAAAGTAATCTTAAACACACAATGTCTTTAAGATGTCTTTAAGATGTTATGATGTTATCTACGATAATCTCTGGATTTGTGTATGTCCCCGAGGGCTATGTATTTACATAACACATTGATGATGGATTTAGTAACCGATTGGAACGCAGTTCCAATATAACCAATATAATAATCATCCGCTTATAAGGTTATTAAATTGAAATGTGCATATGCTATATCGATGTGTATACATAACAGTAAATAGGCACATATATAAGCGAGTTGTATATTATATACTGCATTGTCTAGGGAGTAGAGGTTAGCAATCTAGTATATATAAATGCCTATGCCTGCGTCGCCCATGCGAAAGCACTTGGTAATATACGCTATCGTGTTTTTTATTATGAAAGATTTATTCATGTTGTGAGGGATTAATTTCGGATACTTTTGCAGGGGGAGGGATAGTATGATGAATAATAAGAACAATAATAAAAACACGGAAAAATTATTGATTCAGGAATTCTATTCTATTATAATTAGGCGAATTCAATTGTGCAGTAAAGAAATTATGTTAATTAGATCAATTTTATTGGTTTCTTTTATGCCAGAATAACATTATTGGCTTGCTGTTGTGTGGTGTTTTAAATATTTGACTTCTTATACGTTGTATTATTTTCTCTTGACGACTTTGATTATTTGTCTTGATGTTCTGTATTCTCGCAAAGTACATATATTTACCATTGAAGAGGGTTCAAGATAAGGCTGAAACGTTTGGACAAATATAAGGATAATAATAAATCTCACTTATGTGTATGAATACTCCTTGAGATAAATGTAAATTTGGTAATTTATAATAAAGACAATTGTGCTTAGCTCTTATTCTTCCTTAATTTTTTTTCATCAGAGTCTTTCTTATTCTAATTAAAGAAATTATGTTTGGAAGCGATTATATTAATGTACTAGAATAAAGTTATTATACTGAAATATTATTTATAATGTTATAATGAAATCTGCTAATGTATCAAACTTTTCCTTTTTATACAGTAGAGAAGAAATCAATTATTTCGATAAATATGTCTGACTATAAATTCTACAACCATATTTTTCATTGTGTTCAATAGAGAGTTGTCTTTGCTACATCGACAAATTTGCCGTGTTATAATGTTAAGTACTTTATTGGGTAATTAGTAATTAGATAATTACTTTACATAACTCGTAGACTTAGTTGCTGTAACACAGAATAATAACCGTTCCTATATTACGTTATAGTTTCGATAAATTAATGAAACT